AATATGAGCATAGAAAGTCACGTGGCGGTGAATCTTTTGTCATTGAGGTCGACTGTAAACCAATTATTATGAAACCGATATTGCCGCCAATTAAGACAGCTGACGGGTCTGTAAGTATAAATTCCATTTTGAATACAACATACTTTCTTTCTATGCTTCCGACTGGAAATATTTCTGAAGTATAATTGAAAATTATATACATGTCATAATGAGATATTTATATCTCACTGCATTTATCGCTATTTAGTCAGTATATAAAAATGTTAGAATTTCCCCGGTTTCGTCCAGACTGAGATTCATTTAACATAGTAACGTAATTAGAATGGTTAGTTTTAGAAACATTTGAAATTTGCCCTTTGACCTCAACTGAAAGATTATATATTTAATCTGCAACTTAAGAAATATGCCCAGTATTGACGAATATACGATGAAGTTGTGTATTGCTTAAAAAATGTCTATAAATTCACAAGACAAACAACAGCACTATATAGAACGTAAGGAATAGCCAATAGTCTAAAATTCAATTGGACTTGAATTTAGACAAAATTGAATTTTTTTCCAAAGGAAAATTTCAGTTTGCCTTAAATGTTTGTTACATTTTTAACAGATACGCCTAGATTGTGAGGCTCGACAAGAGCAAGCCGATGCCAAAAGAAATGAGGAGCTCTCTAAAAAGAAAGCACTGGCAAGAGCAAGTCGATGCCAAAAGAAATGAGGAGCTCTCTAAAAAGAAAGCACTGGCAAGAGAGCACCAGAGAAAAAAGTAAGGTCACTTATATTGTCTAACAACCATTTGATTCGAATACATGTACATTTAATATCAACATTTATCTTATATAAAGAAATGTATGTTCCCGTACACCTGATGGTCCGACAAGAATTATCATAGTTCGCAGGTTTAATCATTAAACATTTTCGTTATGAAAAATTTCATTTACAAAGTGTGATAATTGTATTATTTACTTAACACAAACTATGTATAACATTGAATCACACTAGACAATATATCATTTACATCACACCAGCTATATATCATTTCCATCACATCAGATATTCTATGACTAACATCACTTAAGATATATCATTAACAGTACACCAGATATATATCGTCACCTCGTTGCAATAACTGATTAACTGCTATTAAATTTAGAAGCTTTATATATTATATGATATATGATATCCTTTACATCACACCAGATATTCTTTAATTTACATCATATATGATTTACAATCACACCAGATACTACATCATTTACATCACACCAGATATAGATGTAACATTAACATTAGACCAGATAGTATATCATTTATATTACACCAGATACGATATTAATTACACCACACCAGATACTGTATCATTTACATCACAACAGATATTATATCATTTACATCACACCAGATACTATATCATTTACATCACACTAGATATATAACATTAACATCAGACCAGATAGTACAATGTATATCATTTATATAACACCAGATACTATATTAATTACACCACACTAGAAACTGTATCATTTACATCACAACAGATATTATATCATTTAAATCACAACAGATACTATATCATTTACATTGCACCAGATACTTTATCATTTACATCACGCCAGAGTACTATATTATTTACACCACACCATATATATATCATTAACATCATACCAGATACGATATCATTTACATCACACCAATCTACTGTATCATTAACATCACAACAGATACTATATCATTTACATCACACCAGATATATAACATTTACATCATAACACGTAGTATATCATTTATATAACACCAGGTACTATATCATTTACACCATACCAGATATATATGATTAACATCACACCAGATACTATATCATTTACATCACATCCTATACTAATTCATTAATATCACACCACATATTTATATAATCTACATTACTCAACGAGATCGATAAACATTCAATTGACACAATTATCTTTGATAATTTTTAGAAGTGAATGCATGCAACGAAAAGACGAGGCCGAACGTCAGTTTCAGGAAAGAGTTCGGCTCACTATCAGACATAACCAGGCAGACGGTGAAAGAAATAGGAGCCGAATGTCGCTCAAGGCCACATTTGCCGATGTCAACAATAGCAAAAAGCTAGGTTTTTCTCCCCTCAACTTGCAGGGCAAAATAACCCCCCAAATCGGGGCCCCTTTACAAATTTTTGCCGGGGCGACACTCCCATAAAAATAGGGCCCCCATACATTTTTCTATTGTCAGTGTGAGGTTTCATGAAATTAATATAAATTACAAAATAAAAGCAACTTAATCCCTTTTGCCCTACTCATTTTTCATTTTATAATGTTAAAATTCTTTTTCATATTTCCTCACAGTTTTCAGCTTTCCCTTTGTTATACTTCTATACAAATTTCAAATCATATAGTGTGTAACATATGTCTTTGACAATTTATTCAGACATGTATTTATTTTCAGTTTATCTTTATTTCGTTCATTTTCAAAATCCTGCTTTTGGAAAAGAAAAGTTAATATCATTTCGCGCGTAAGCTTGATAAATTTTCAAATGACCAAATTCTGTGAAAGTTTAAGAAAATTCTAAACCTTTAAAGAAACATTTCTTGTCATAGCCCTATGTATATATTTCAATCACGGGTTTGTTATATTTCCTAAGTTTCTTTTTTTTCCTTTTCAAAATATGGTAAGAAAGCGCACCTAATTCATTTTTGTACATTCTCATCTTAGCAACAAGGACCTATTTCTTGCTTACACTATACAGACTATCTAAGATGTTATAATACAAATAGTTTTAAACATTTTTGACAATTCAAATAACTTTTATTTTTTCATTTTGTATTAACAGTTAAAAATATGGCTATAAATATCATTGATATTCCTAGTTTTATTATTTATTGACTATTCACGTGACATGGCTCCGATATTTCAAGGTATAAAGACCCTTTTGCCTGCTGTTAAAGGGATGTTGTCGGCTTTGGCTTTTGGCATCTTGGCATTTTGTTTTCAAAATTCACAATATCTTTCTTCCTCCTTTCATTGCACCATTGATTATAAAACTTAAGATAGGTATATCAATAAAATAAATACATCTACAGTTTATTTAACACTATCTCCTAATACATGCATTTATAAATAAAACAATTTTGGATCATAAAGCATACTGAACTTGTTGTTGTTGTTGTTTATCTTCTCGGGAGTACAACTCATCGTAACAAGTAATCGAGATAGATCAGAGAGGCTTTGTCAATATTGTAAACGTATGTCAGGATACAATTCTTAGTGTGTTGTTATTATTGGATTTAAAAATTTACCAATTCAGTAGTTCTAGAGGCATATTATGCCTTAGAAACTTCTTTAGAAAGGGTAAATATGAATTTTATAACATAAAGATAATGGTTTTAGAGCATGTAAGATGCTTGTGACCTGAAAAATTTAGAGATAAATGTAAAATAATTTGTCATATTCTGATCTATTTTTGATAACTTTATGTGGATTGTACTTACCGTTTGCAGCACGTAATTATTTTCTTCGTTAACTTCACATTGTTTTTCTTTTAAATGCATTTTAGAATGATAATTAACATCAATTTTGAGGCATGTCGCTTTTAATGTGATAATTAAAGATGTTGAATGTGCATTTTGTCAATATCAAGTACTTGATATAAACTGTCGCTAAAGGTAACCTTTTGACTACATCAATATAAAATGTCTTTTACTTTGTTTGTACGTAGCATTCACTATAACAAAGCCCTAGTCAGACCCTAGCTTCGGAGTGTTGCGAGGATATCAGCTTTGACTTTGTCTGTTTAATTGTGATTTTGTTTTGTTTTTGTGTGTGTGTGTGTGTTTTTGTTCAGAAAAGTAAATACTTTTTGTTATATTTTTCCGATATGCATTTTTTGGCATAATTTTTTAGTAATTATTGAAGTGTAGATGAATTTCGTTAGCTTGAATTTTATTAAAAAGTATCATGAATTAATGAATATTTAAAATGAACATTTTTTTACTCTTTCCCGGCAACTATAGCGCAAAAGCCCTGAAAATTGTTTTGTTGAACGGTTTTAAGCGTTATTCATTCTTGCTGATGAGTGGATGTCGATGTTATCATGAAAAAGAGGCAAACGGCTGATGACTTTACTCAAACTTTGAAGACACTTAAACGCTCTATATCTTTAAAAGAAAAGCATTTTTGACGGAATGGTTTTGATTATTTAATGACGAAATGTTGACGTTTACGAATCGTATCTCAATCATGATAAAATGTAAGTTTTTGTTAAAAAATGCCGCATTTCATCAGAAAGTGAGGCTATTTTCAGTCAAAATTCACGTACAGTAAAGCTTGCACAGGGCCAAACATTTGTTAGCATGCTCCTTCTGATCCATAATATTGATTTACTCAATCTTAGTTGGGATAAAAATAAAAAAAGATAATTAGTTACCGTCCGTAAATTGTGTTTTTTTTATACCGACATGTATAGTACGGCTGTCGAAGGTTAAACGGTGAGGATACCAGTGAAAAAAAGTGTTATTTCCAATATCACAACTTTACCTTGCTTATTTTTTAATAAGGATCCCATACGTGTGTAAAGCTATAAACCTGCAGTCTGTATTTAACAAAAATGGCGTTAAATATTTTAAAAGAATTTTTCCAAAATACCTGTTCAGAAAAATATGTTTTTATTTCCTCTCGAGTTTAATTTCAAATTAAAAGTCCCCACCCCCCCCAGTACTCGACATTTCCATTTCCGGTTTCTTCCGGTAGTCTTGTCTGTCTGGACGTTAATTCAATGAACGGCGCCCTCTTTTGTTGAACTTTGTGTATATTTCAATGTATATATAACACTGTGAAATGTTATTCGTGAACCACATATCATATATATAAATGTATGTCATAAAGGAGCAACTGTGATGAAAAGAGAATTATCACTTATTAAGACACCGATGTTATCTATAGAATTAAAATGAATGACCTTCATTGCCATGACCTGGCGTCTTATCACTTGATTATTTTGTCTGCTCCCATTTCGTAATTGTCAACTGACAATTTAAGTTTAAATGTCAAAATGTTAAGGTATTTGATACTAGCAATAGCCACGTCTTGTTTCCAATATGGATCACTGGCAGCAGATGTTGACCAGCTTCAACAGGAGGTCAATAGTTTGAAGTCCCAGATGGGCCAGTTACAACAAACCATACAGCAAATGCAAACACAGCTCAGTAAGTATTCGTTTATAGTGATACGTAGATATGTCTTAAGGCTGTGACAAATGGGGTTATTTTGCGATTTTGTTTTATAATGTAATGTCGGTCTGAGAAATTTCTCTCATCCAAAACTTTCTGAAACATTTAGAATTTATACTTATCCAAATTCAATGAGCTGATGAAATGTAAAATAAATGAACCAAAACCTTTAACTTTCTATATCTTGATTCAAGTGCTCGATTTTGAACATTCATCAAGACACGTGTTAATATAAATACATAAGGAGGTTTGTGCATATTTGATATCAAAAGGCATTTTTTGCCCATTTCAAAGTGCTTTTTAGAAATCATTTGATCATGTAGAATATATTTGTTATTACAGTGTACAATTTTTTTCTTCAGATGCATCATCTGCGCTCGTTCATTCTGTACCACACGCACAACCAATTGCTTTCACTGCACACCTGTCCAAAACAATCGTAAGCATTCAAGAACACCACCATGTTAGCTTTGACAACGTCATCACAAATATAGGTGGAGCGTATAATAAAGAAACCGGTCATTTTGTGGCACCCGTGTTCGGAACATACGCCTTTTTTGTTACTGCAACAAATACGCCTGGTCACTCAACATCATTGACTTTGATGAAAAACGGCCAATGGCAATCGGTAACATTGGCACATGGAACAGCTTCTACTCCATCGCAGTGGGAAACCAGCACGATGTGTGCTATGTTGTTGCTTAATGAGGGTGACGAGGTTTGGGTTCAAAATGAATCTAAGTTCTCAACAACAGAAGATCTTGATGGATACAATTATTCATCCTACTCTGGTTTTCTAATACAACGTCTGTAATTGTACGATTAAATTTGGAAGTAAAGAGTTACAAAATGTACAATTTATGCTTACTCAGTAATTTATTGTGAAAATCTTAGCTGAACATTTACTTACCTAAATCTCTTTACTGATAATGATAAGTCTGTGTATTAACTAGTTCTTTTGATGTATAGTTTCAATCAACAATCAACAGAAACAATGCTGTTGTAGTTAAAAAAGTCAAAAATGTAAGTTTTTTTCATCTGTGGAATGCAGAATTTAATTAATGCTACCACACGTCTACACCCTCAGTAGAAATCAACAATGAAAAATAAAACGTAGACGGCCAAGTAATAGGAAAGCGGATTACGTCTTAGAAAGATCGTAAATGTTAATATTGAATTCTTCTATATAGACATTGTAACTCGATTTGATGTTCTTTCTTTAGTCATATCGGTTTAAGATGAGACTATATTACAAAAATCCATTGTAGTGTTTTTGCACGCTTACTATGCGTCAGAAGATTATATAAATATTCAAGCTTTTAAATAACAAGACACATGGCGATGCCACGAAACCAGGTTTTCAATTATCACCATGGAAGAAAGTTGTGTTGTCATTGGAATATAATATATACACACAGCTACAGGCAACGTACAATGTGTCTTTGTGCATTGTAAATGATAAATAATAATAATAATAATAATTATAATAATAATAATAACAACAACAAAAAAAAAAAAAAAAAAAAAAAAAAAACAACACAAAAAAAAAGAAAAAAAAAAAGAGAAAAAACAAAAAACAAAACATTTGTTACAACAGAAGATAGAAAAATAAATATTATATTTGCCTTAATGTTAGTGGGTCCCTAAAGCAATCCTAATCAAAGTATTCATAAAAGCTTGCTATATACCAAGTTCTTTTAAAAATCGTACTCCTTACTCTACTTTTCTATTTTTAGAAACAGTGACATTGACCATATCGTGCTCAAATGCAATCCGATTGAGGCTTTTAAATATGAATAATATACAAGTTTGATTAAATTAATTCTTAATTCTAGTCATTGAATGGAAACGCATTTTCTTCTTTAGTAAAAGTGACGTTAATTTTGACCTAAGGGAGCCTAAAAGCAATTCCAAGCAAAGACTTATTAATCCTTCCGCATAGCCGGAAGAGGATTAAATGAATGGTCCGGTCTGTCAGTCTGTCTGTCCGTCCGTAACACTTTCATGTCCGCTCCATAACTTTTAAACCGCTGAAAAGTTTTTAAAATAACTTGGCACAAGTGATCACAGTTATAAGATGATGTGCAGAGCGCAATAATTGGGTTGCTATTCCCAATGTCAAGGTCACACCTAAAGGTCAAGTGTTGAAAAGTGTACATCTCGTGTCCGCTCTATAACTATTTTACCGCTGAATCATTTTGAAATAACTTGGCACAAGTGATCACCTTTATGATACGATGTACAGAGCGCAATGATTGGATTGCTACATTTTAGTTCAAGATCACACTGAAAATTCAAGTATTAAAAAGTACATTTCATGTCCGCTCAATAACTTTTAAACCGCTGCAAAAAATGAAAACTTTGGCACAAGTTATCACCACCATGAGACGATAGACAGAGTGCAAGAATTGAATTGCTACCAGAAGGTCAAGGTCACATTCAAAGGTCAACTGTTAAAAAGTTTCGTTGGCATTTTTTAAAATAACTTGGCACATGTGATCACCATAATGAGACGATGTACAGAGCACAATGATTTGGTTGCTACCACCAGGTCAATTTCACACTTAAAGGTCAAAACTTAAAAAGTCTACATTTCGTGTCCACTCCAAAACTTTAACGGCTGAATATTTTTGAAATAAATTGTCACAAGTGATCACCATTATAAAACGATATGCAGATTGAAATAATTGGGTTGCTACTTCAGAAGTCAAGTTCACATTTTAAGGTCAAGTGTTAAAAAAACTACATTTTGTGTCCGCTCCATATTTTTTAAACTTGCTATTTTTTTTTTAAATAACTTGGCACAAGTAATCACCATCATGAGACGATATGCGGAATACAATAATAAGGTTGCTACCGCCAAGGTCAATGTCATAATTAAAGTTCATTTGTAAAAAAGTCCAGATTTCGTGTCCTCTATAAACTTTTAAACCGCTCAATGTTTTTAATTAACTTCGCACAAGTGATCACCAGCCTGAGAGTATATGCAGAACGCAACAATTTGGTTGGTACACAAGGTCAAGGTCACACTCAAAGGTCAATTGTTAAAAAGTCTATGTTTCGTTTGCACTTCATAACTTTAAAACCGCTGAAATTTTTTGAAATAACTTTTCACAAGTGATCACCAATATGAGATTATATGCAGAGTGCAATAATTGGGTTGCTATACCTAAGGTCAAGGTCACACTTAAATGTCAAGCGTAAAAAGGCTACGTGTTGTGTCCGCTCAATAACTTGTAAAGCGCTGGTTTTTTTTTTAATTATTGGCAGAAATGATCAACATTCTGACATGATGTGCAGAACCCAACGTCCAGGTTGCTAGCCCCAAGGTCATAGTTAAATGTTTACCAAAGCCTTTTGACTTTATGAAGATTTTAAATAACTTGTCACAAAAATTACTATCACGAGACTATAATGACACAACATCAAGGTCATGGTCTGTTAAAGGTCAATATGTACACATTCATGTTTGCTTTGGAAGGGGATTGAGCTGTACTTCAGACTGAATTGTTCCAAACTAGTTATTGACCGGAAATCAATTTTCTTTGTTTAGAAACAGCGACCTTTTTTCTTGATCCTATGGAACCCAAAAGCAATTCCCAACGAGATCTACACAAAAGCTTTCTATACACAAGGTTGCATTAAAATATCTCATGTCTAACTTAAGTTATTGCCCGAAAACCGATTTTCTATTTTAAGTATCATTGTCTTTCACTTTGACCCTAAGGGACACAGAAGCAACCGAAGCGATGTCTTTACATAGGCTTAATTTACAATTAATTTCATTAAAATATCTCATTCCAAACTGTAGTTATTGACCGGAAACCAATTTTCTATTTTTGTGAGGTTTTAAATCTGCGAATGATTCAAAAGTTCATGTGAAATAGTGAATTCTGCATAAGCCGGTGCTAGGGGGTATGGACGGTAGCTTAGAAATTACCACTTTTGTCCATGAATAGGCTCAATCAAACCGAGCATGCGGCATTTTCAATTTTGCCGTGATGGGCTTTGTTTAGAAATTCTGTTTTTCTCTATTTTAAGTCGCTCCAACACGAATAGATCACATGATTACTTTCCAGCTGTACTGATGGAGAAATACCTTAGGTAACCTTCCGTTCATTACTTTTAGCACGAAGTGGCACCTAAGTAGAACCAGATAGCTTGATATTTTTTTTTACTATTTTTGTAACAGTGATCTTGTCCCGAGCGGGCCCAAGAGACTTGACCTTGACCCAGGAGGTCCAAAAGCAATCGTTGGCGAAGTTTTCACATAAGCTTGATTTACATAAAGTTTCTTTGAAATATCTCATCTTAAGCTCTTATTATTGACCGGAAACGCATACAGCCCAAAAAAAACACAGACCGTTTTAGTGTAACACAACTGTGGAGGCATTGCTGAGTGGTTAACACATCGGGCTAGTAATCTAAGAAAATTTACACTCATTGCTCATGTTCTGGTTGGTTCTATAGGAATGGATTGTGGGTTTGTCTATAAACTTTATGCATATTGATCGCTTGTCCTCCAAGATACTGAATTAGCTCGTGCAGCTTTTGATTCATCAGGAAACACAAGGGTAGAACCACCGACCTTTTTGAAATGAAAGAGTCTGAAGTCCTTACTGGAATTCGAAAGCTATATCGGAAAACTGATTCGTAGTCATGAACATCAGTCTATACCACACATCGTACAATCAAATGGGCAGACAGCTGTTCAACCGTCGACAGCCGTACCTGTATATACATGTCGGCGCAGAAAACACAATTGACAATGGTAAGTATTCATCTATTTTTAACATATTCCAACTGTGTTTGAGTAAATCAATGTTATGGATAAATAGTCAACATCCAAAGGAGCATGTTAACAAATTTATGGCCCTATGGAAGCCTTACTTCACGGGAATTTTGCCTGAAAATAACGACACTTTCCGATGAGATGCGGCATTTTTGTTTACAAAAACTCACAAAGTCACATAATCTTATATTTTCTCATGATAATAAATCCTTTTATCATACGATTCGTAAACGTCAACATTTCGTCATTAAATATTCCAAAACATACCTTCAAAAATGCTTTTCTGTTAAAGTTATAGGGTATTTTAATTTGAGTGTCGTCAAAATTTGAGTATCGCCATCAGCCGTTCGTCTCTTTTTAATGATAACATCGACATCCATTCATCAGCAAGAATGAATAACACTGAAAAGGAAACAATTTTCAGCGCTTTTGTGCTATAGTATCTAGGAAAGAGTAAAACTTTTGTTCATTTAAAATATTCATTCAATCATGATATTTTCAAATAGACCTTATGCTTACCGTCTGCCAATTGTGTTTTCTGCGCCGACATGTATATACTGGTACGGCTGTGGAAGGTTGAACGGTTGTATGTTCATTTGATTGTATAGCGTTTACTACCTTGTCATAGATTAAATGCCTGACTCAAAAATTGTGAATCCAACAAACACCACTAACTGCAACTTTCTTTCATCTTATTTAATGTTGTATACGTATCCACGAACTATTTGGTAAATTTGTTTTTTTGGTTTGTAGTGATAATGACTCAATTCCTTTGTAAATGTATTTCAAAACCACTGAAATTCCAATTATTTTCTATAAATATAAGGCATCTGTCGGAAATATCATAACTAGTTATTGTAACTTTTCTCTGATTTGGATGTTCAGTCTTAAACAATTTGAGACTGCAGTGGCTCTAAATTGTGCGACCCGAACTAATTAAAAACATTTGCCATAGAAAAAGTCACGTTTCACGCTCTTAAATCGTACACTGGGCTTAATATTTCACTACCTATACTTTAAGACATTGTACTATGTATATCTATGTCAAAGTTTGAACAACCCTTTCGTTTCTATTTGATCTAGATATTTCTGTCAAGTTTGATCATACCGTTTTTGAAACAGGTTTAGGTAATTCCTAAGATTACTAATTGCCACATTGATTTATATAACTATGAAAGAAATTTCAAATTAAACATCCTATTACTCGACATGTTCATATCCGGTATCTGTTCGGTGGTCTTGTCTTTCGTTCATTGGTGTTGCGTTCAATGAATGACGCCCTCCTGTGTGCACCTAGAGTACGAGGTATGAATAAAACGTTCTCGGCCCGATATACTTCTAGCCACTAAACTGACATTTACACACGATACGTCGATACTATTATCTTATTTAAGATTACTGACTGAGTTACAAGCGGTTTACAGATTAAGTAAAATAAAACACACTTTGATCAGTAGAGGGGTGTGTCATTTAGACCAAATAGAGAAAGTTGAAATCAGAGCCGTCATTAAGTAAGAAAGGGATGTCCCCAAAGGAAATCCATGAAGACTTCATGGATACACTTGGAAAGGAGTCCCCTTCCTATAGCACTGTGAAAAATGGTATGCTGAATTTAAGAGGGGCAGGGAGAGCATTGGAGATGATAAGCGGCTTGGGCGGCCAAAAGAGGCCACAAACGATGACACTTCCGAAGCAGTGACATGTGCGACAGAAGGCGAGACCTGCGAAGCATTGCTAGGGACGTGGGTATAAGCTTTGGTTCAGCTCAGGCAATTCTGACTTATGTCTATGGCATGTCAAAGGTTTACGCTAGATGAGTTCACAGACAGTTGAGTGACGACCAGAAACGGACCAGGCTTGACATTTCAAGATATCTTTTGTCTCGCTACGAGGATGAACCTGATTCCATCAACCGGATCGTAACTCGGGATGAAATATGGGTTCATCACTTCGATCCAGAATGCAAACTAGAAATATGTCATTAGCACACGGGTGCCCCCACACTCCACCGATTTGTCAATCTTATGTCTCTAGGTCAAATATTTTTTTGGCCACATGTGCTCAAGTTGAAAACTAAAAATCTTTCATACATTTTTACACATGCTGACCAACAATCTTTCAGGCCTACAGGTCAAATACTTTTGAGTTACGTGCAACACAAGTTGAATATTGTAAAGTCAAGGGCAATAACTCTTAAAATAAATACTTAAAATATCCACACGACAATACCCAGGTAAACAACTACACATGGTGAGCTGCATTTCTTAAGGTTTCATGACTCTAGGTCAAATACTGTTTTATTTACGTGCGCCACAAGCTGAAAATAAGAAATGTTTACTGATTCAAGGGCAATAACTCTAAAATACTAGATAGATCCACACAAAAATACACAGGTGCACAACTACACATGCTGATCAACATTCCTGTAAGGTTTCATGACTCTAGGTCAAATACTTTTTGAGTTACGTGTGACACAAGTTGAAAATTGCAAATTTTTACTAAGTCAAGGGCAATTACTCTTAACATACTAAAAATACCCACACGAAAATACCCAGGTGCACAACTACACATGCTGAGCAACATTAAGGTTTCATGACTCTAGGTCAAATACTTTTTGAGTAACGTGGGACACAAGTTGAAAATTGCAAATTTTTACTAATTCAAGGGCAATAACTCTAAAAATACTAAATATATCCACATGAAAATACCCAGGTGCACAACTCTAGGTCAATTACTTTTTGAGTTACGTGCGACACAAAAAGAGAACGGACGGATGGACGGACGGACAAGGGTTAATCTAAATGCCCCCCCCCCTATAGTGGGGGAACAAAAACAGATCTTGCAGTGGTAGCACCCTGGCTCTCCCCCTCCGACGAAATTCAAGAGGGTGCCATCAGCAGGGGAGATGATGACTTAATTTTTTTGGGATAGTCAGGGGATACTCATGATTGACTATCTGGAGCAAGATCGTACCATAAACGGTACCTACTATGCAGAGCAGACGAATTGAGACGTCTGCGTCAAGAAATCGCGCGTAAAAGGAGGTGCAAACTTACTCCTGCACGACAATGTGCAAGCTCACACATCCCAAGGTGCGATGGCTGCTGGCTTTAAAATTCTTCCCCATCCCCCATTTTCTCCGGACTTGGCCCCCTCTGACTTCTACCTGTCTCCGAAACTGAAAACCAAGCTTCGTGGTAGACATTTTGGAAGCAATGAAGGTGTCATGGAGGCGGATAATGAGTTATTTGAGGACCAAAATAGAGAGTTCTATTTTTAAGGGTTAAACAAGTTGGAGCACAGGTGGGGCAAAGTGCATTGATGTAGAGGTAGATTTTATTGAAAAGTAAGACAGTTAGTTAGGTTCTCTGACTACCGGAAGTACATTGGGCCAAGAACTTTTTGATCAATCCTCGTATACATGTATATTTTTAAGATCCTGTATGTTTTGTGATTGATATTGGTACTGTGTGTAAACCACACTTGCAAAATATATATATGTATATAATTATGAAAATAAAACAATTTTCAAACATCGAAGAATATGTAAAATGTGTACTGCAAAATATTTGTGCACATTATATTTAATCAATAGATTATATTCATTCATTTCTTATTTGAAAATAAATTTCTAATTACCTCCCTTTATTTACATGAAATGTTAAATTCGGTAGTATCTTTATAAATAATGCTTGTTTGAACTTACAATATTGACAAAACCTAATTTGAGCTTCATATTTATGCAATAAAACCATAAAAAGTTGTGTTACAGGATCTTTAAGGTATATATATAACACTGTGAAATGTCATTCGTGAACACAGTATCATGTATCAATGTATGTCATAAAGGATGAAAATAGCATTAGCACTTATTAAGACACCGATGTTATCTATAGAATTAAAGTGAATGACCTTTATTGCCATGACCTGGCGTCTTATCACTTGATTATTTTGTCCGTTACAATTTCTTAACTGTCAACTGACAAATAAAGTTTAAAATGTTGAAGTTGTTTATTTTAGCAATAGCCACGTCTTGTTTCCAATATGGATCACTGGCAGCTGATGTTGACCAGCTTCAGCAAGAGGTGAATAGTTTGAAGTCCCAGATGGGCCAGGTACAACAAACCTTACAGCAAATACAAACACAGCTCAGTAAGCATTCGCTTATAGTTTTAATTTTGTTATTTCTTCGAGTGATTAATGAATCATAAGGCTGTGATACACAGTTTTTTTGCGATTTTGCTTTTTAATGTAATTGCAATATGAAAATTTCGCCCATCCAAAACTTTCTAAAACAGTTAGACTTGATATTTATATAAATGTTCTCTCTCTCCATTTCTTCAATACTTAGCACATGATTTGGAACAGCATTCATCAAGACACGTGTTAATAGCAATATATATTATTAAGGAAGCATGTGTATATTTGAAATCCAAAAGCATTTATTGCGCATTTTAGAAAACATTTGATACATCTGAGAGGTCAATTAATAAAACATAATTGAAAACTTTAAATTTTACCCACCACGTAAATTTAAAGAAATGCTGTATGTCTTAGGATCGATTTGAGCCTGTCCACGAATGAAAGTTGTAATATAAATGCTGCTTATCATTGAAAACAGCACCGAACTCATTCAAGTATAAAATTTTGTTTTTGTAACATGCTACCATGAAAGCAATTCATGTAGACTACACAATTATTATTGCACTGTGTTTTTTTTCATATGCATCATCAGCGCTTGTTCACTCTACACCGCACGCAAAACCAGTTGCTTTCACTGCACATCTGTCCAAAACAATCGTAAGCATTCAACAACACCATCATGTTAGCTTTGACAACGTCATCACAAATATAGGTGGAGCGTATAATAAAGAAACTGGTCATTTTGTGGCACCCGTGTTCGGAACTTACGCCTTTTTTGTTACTGCAACAAATACACCTGGTCACTCAACATCATTGTCTTTGATGAAAAACGGCCAAAGGCAATCGGTAACATTGGCACATGGAACAGCTTCTACTCCATCGCAATGGGAAACCAGCACGATGTGTGCTATGTTGTTGCTTAATGAGGGTGACGAGGTTTGGGTTCAAAATGAATCTAAGTTCTCAACAACAGAAGATCTTGATGGTCACAATTATTCATCCTACTCTGGTTTTCTTATACAAGGGTTGTAAAATACCTTTAACTTTACAAGTAAAGAGATATAACAGACATACATACCCTTAGTTTATTTTTTATCGTGCAAAAGTTTAGGTGAAAATGTACTTGCTTAAATTACATTGCTAAGCTTGTATATTAATTAGCAATTAACTTTGTTTGTTTGTTTCATTTTACGCCTTTTCCCAACAGTATTTCAGTCATATAGGCGGGTAGTTTCCTAACCATCGTTCCTGGAGAGTTACACCAGTACTTGACTACCTTCCTCCGCGCTAAACTACCAAAGCATCTCCCGGGGATCGAACCCATGCCAGTTAGGTAACTGGATTAGAAGTCATCGACTTTAACCCCTCGACCACGAAGGCGTACTAAGCAATTAAGTGATCTTGACCTTAACCATAGTCACCTAGGTAGCATACCAAAACTGCCTCTTGATATAAGCTACCCATACACAAAGTTTGGTGTCAATAGGCCGAAGCAAACTCAAGTTATCGTGTGGAAACTGATTTCTTTTTTTTGTTACAGTGACATTGGCCTTGATCACATACTCGTGGCAGCAATCCCAAGCTGCCTCTTGACAAAAGCTACTAACAGACCAAGTCTAGTGTCAATAGGCAAAAGCAAACTCAAGTTATTGAGCGGAAACTGAATTTCTATTTTTATTAATAGTGACCTTAATCACTATTTTTCGGTCAAATGGTGTCGCCGTGAAAATGCGGATAGTAATGCTCTAGTTACATGGAAACGTAACATCTTTAAAATTATTGATTCACGTATTAATTTTTATCGTGGAAATGAACATCTTTTGCCACCTAAACCAAGACTTACTTTAAGACATCTGAAAAAAGATATTCTAGCTTTTCATTCAAAATTTGTTTTGGTGCCAGCGGACAAGGCGGCTAATAATATTATAATTGTTTGACGAATCCATTACATTAACGTTTTGCATAAGGAACTAAATAGCACTAATGCGTATTCTAAAACCTCTGCCTCCGAAAAAGACATTGTAAACAATCATATTACTAATATTTCCAATCTTAAAGTCCAAATTAATGAAAAAGAACTCAAACTTCCTATTATGTATTGGATTCCTAAATTACATAAAAAACCTTACAAAGCCAGATTTATTGCTAACTCTACATCTTGCACTACAAGTAAACTTTCTATTTTATTGACGTCTTGTTTGACTGCCATTAAAACACATGTAATTAGATATTGTGATAAAGTCTATGAAAACACAGGCAAACATCTCTTTTGGTCAATTAAAAATTCTGGTGAAATCTTGGATAAATTCAAAATTAATAACTTTCAAGCTTCAACTGTCAGTACATACGATTTTTCTACACTTTATACAACTTTGCCACATAAATTAATCAATGATAAACTAATTTCCCTAATTCAGAAAACTTTTGCACGGGAAAAAGTTACCTTTCTAGCATGTAATTCTAACAAAGCTTTTTTTACTAACGGTATTGTTAAACATTATACTATGTGGACCTGTGACGAAGTTTGTAGAGCACTCTCTTTTCTTTTAGACAACATTTATGTCAGGTTTGGTAATACCCTATTTAAACAGATCATAGGAATTCCTATGGGTACTAATTGTGCACCCCTGGTCGCCGATTTGTTTTTGTACTGCTATGAAAGAGACTTTATGTTGAGTCTCTCTGAAGAGAAACAACAAGATGTTATAGTCGCATTTAATAATACTTCCAGATACCTTGATGATATTTTTAATTTAGATAATCCTTATTTTGATCAAATGGTGTCTGACATTTATCCGCATGAACTACAACTTAATAAAACGAACTCTTGAAATTTTAGTACATCATTTTTGGATCTTCATATTACTATCAATAACAATTCTATTCACACGAAAATTTATGATAAAAGAGATGACTTTGACTTTTGTATAGTTAATTATCCACATTTGGATGGAGACGTACCCCATGCAACATCCTACGGGGTTTATGTTTCTCAGTTAATTAGATTCGCTAGAGCTTGTAACAACGTAAAGGATTTCAACGAGCGGAATATTTTTATTACCAGCAAGCTTCTAAAACAGGGCTACCGCTATCATAAATTACGGAAATATTTTACTAAATTTTACAATCGTAACTTTATTTTAATTTCTAAATTTAATAGTGATTTAAAAACTCTTCTGCGACAAGGGATTAGCCAGCCTGGTTTTTATGGCGATGTGATTTACAAACTTCGTAAGATTTTGGGTCATGGTAATTTTTCTGCTGTTTTTACTAAAATCATTAAACGTTTTATTAAAAGAGGTTATGACCCTACTATTTTAAGACATACTGCATGTTTAGTGTTCAACCCTTTTACAGTTGGACACTACGCTTTCCTCTTTTGATTACATCTGACGGACCAAGTGGGAGACTCTATGATGGATAGTTCTTAAAGCCCTTTGGGACTGAATTGTCTTAATGTTCGTCTTCTGCCTTGCTTCGTCGGGCCCTTGTAGGTGATTTTCTTGTTGCTCTGTCTTCCTTTAGGACATTGAGTACTTTTGTTATGGTCATTGGGTTTACTTTTATATGTTTCTACATGATCATTTTGGTGTTTTACTTATTTAACCTTTTGTAACCATAACAACTGTTAGAATTTCACTTGGCGGGGATTCATTTTATTTACACTGTCTCGTTTATAGGAACATGGTGGGGCTAAGAGCGAGGTTTGGTGCACCATTAACCGGTTTAAACTCCCCAGCAGTCATTATTATGCTGCTGACCGTTCCAAGGCGGCGCCCCTCTGTGTTCCTCAGATGTATGTCTATGTTGTTTCATACTGTTTTGGTGACACTTTTGCTTGTGTCCCTTGTTGTTTTCTCGTCTACGGTAAGTATCTTCCCCTTTGCCCCTAGTTTTTATTTCTTTGATTAAACCCCCCCCCCTTCCCCCGGTCTCCTGTCCCCTTCCCCTTTGTGGGCCTTTTATTATTTTCTTTGAATTCCTAATCAGTTACAAATTATTTATCATTTAATGATTAACGTGTCGTTGCCCTGTCCTTTTTATGTTTGGGGTCCACCTGGGCTCCTTGCCATTGGTTCTTGTTGCTGGGTCATATGGGGGTTGCGTTCATTGAACGCCGCCTTTCCTTGTTGATCTTGTTTTTCATATTTTAATCGCAGACAACTTGGTAGTAATCTCAAGCTGCCTCTTGATATAAGCTACACATACACAAAGTTTAGTGTCGATAGGCCAACGCAAACTCAAGTTCTTTAGCTGAATCTGAATTTCTATGTTTTGAAACAGTGACCTTGACCTTAGTCACAGACATTTGGATAGCAAACCGAAGCTGCCTCTTAATATAAGCTATCCATACATCAAGTTTGGTATCAATAGGCCAAAGTAAACTCAAGTCATTGAGCGGACACTGATTATCTATTTTTAGTAACAGTCACATTGACCTCGATAACATACAGCGTGGTAGCAATCCAAGCTACCTCTTCATATAAGCTACCCATTTACCAAGTTTGGTGTCAATAGCCCAAAGCAAACTAAAGTTAGTGAGCGGAAGCTAAATTCCTTTTTTTAGTAACAGGTTCCTTCACCTTGATCACAAACACCTGGGTAGCGATTGAAATAAGCTAACCATACATCAAGTTTGGTGTCAATAGGCTAAAGCAAACTCAAGATATTGCGCAGAAACTAAATTTCTATTTTTACTAACAGTCACAGTGACCTTGATCACATACACCTGGGTAGCAATCCCAAATTGCCTCTTGATATAAGCTACCCATACACAAAGTTTGTTGTCAATAGGCCAAAGCAAACTCAAGTTATCGTGTGGAACTGATTTCTATTTTTAGTTGCTGTGACCTTGACCTTGATCACATACACCTGTGCAGCAATCCAAAGCTGCCTCTTGATATAAGTTACTTACTAGACTCAAAATTTTGCTACAATAACAACTTTAATAATTTCACATTTACAACTACTTTCGTCAGAAATACAGGCAAAACAAAAAAGTATTTAATAATGTAAAGACGCGCCTTTAATACTATTAGGGCCACAAATAATTGGCTACCAATTAAATGATGCGGGAATTTTCTATCTTGACACGGATGCCTCAGGCATTGGAATTGGTAGAGTTTTATCTCAGCTTCAATCAGGTCATGAAAGAGTACTTGCATTCGCAAGCAGGGGTATGAAAAAAGCAGAAAAGAATTACTGCATTACAGAACAGGAGGTTTTAGCTGTCATATACTTTATACAGTACTTGAGACAATATCTTTTAGGTCGCCACTTTGTTGTTCGAACGGATCACAAGGCGCTAGTATGGCTCTTTAGGGATTCTTATTTTCTCTATCTTTAGCTTCAGAGAACCCTCTGGAAAAAAAGCTCGCTGGAAAGAAATCACTGCTTTTGATTTTGCAGATGAATATCGCCCGGGAAAAAATTGGACATTGCGACGCACTCTCAAGGTGTTTTACTCCACGAGACTGCACATGCAGTGAAGTTGATATGAGTAAGCCTCTCAAATGTGGACCTTGCCGAAAGTGTCGGAGACGTGCAGAATAAATGGTACTACATACAAAGCTCTCCCAGCAGGTACCAGCAGATTACCAGGGTAGTATTAAGCCCAACTCATCCACTGACCCAACCGAAATTGTACGTGCCACTAAATCCAACACTCAAAAGGTGCAAGAACAATAACCTTCGAGATCAAACAGTAAATCGCAATCACAAACTTGGTTATTTGTAGAAAGGCCTAAAATTTGGCCATAGGACAAAGTAATGACCCAGATATAGGACTAATTTTGTCTTCAAAATGACAAGGTGCTAAACCTAGAAGATCAGATATGGAAGCCATGAGTCCAAGTATTACGCATTATTTGATATTGTGGGACAAATTATTTTTATTAAATGGAGTTTTATGTAAATCCTATAGCAAAAGGAATGGGACAGGTGAGTTCATACAGCTCATTACTCCCCGGGAAATGCAGAAAGACATTTTAGCTCAGATGCATAACAGTGTCTTGTCTGCCCATTTTGGTGTTAAAAGGACTAAAGAAAAAATTACTCAACATTATTACTGGTTTAACCTGAAGCAAGATGTGAAATGGTACATTAAGCGTTGTGATATTTGTGCGGCTGACAAAATTCCAGCCAAGCCACCAAAAGCACCAATGGGCCATATA